TATATATATTTTTAAAAGTCTGAAAAAAAATCACAACTAAGTCATAACTGAAGTTACTCTGGGACAAAGGAAGGAAGGATTATAAGATGGAGAGGGGGTCAAAGGAATTTTTAGCTTTATCAGTAATGCTCTAATATTTTAAAAAGAATGTAAACAAATGAATGTATGTATGTATTGCTTAGGTTATTAGAAATTAATTCGTGCCCTGGCCGGATAGCTCAGTTGATTAGAGCATTGTTCCAATACACCAAGGTTGCTTGCAGGTTTGATTCCTGGTCAGGGCACATACAATCAACCAATGAAAGCATAAAGAAATGCAACAAATCAGTGTTTCTCTATCTCTTACTTAAAAAACAAAATTAATTTGTAAAAAAGGAAAAAAGTGAAGTTGAGTAGTAAGAGAAAAGATCAACCATCAAGGCCAAAGTGTTTGTAAATACACTTCCTGTGAAAAAGAGGAAGTTGAATTAATGTTTTCATAGAACTTTTTGGTACTCTATTAATACCAAAACAACAACAGAAGAAGAGACAAGGAATTTAGTCTCAAAGACCTCATAATAAGCAACATCCCCAAAGAACTTTAAACATTATGAATGGAATAACCTGATAACTGAAAGGTTTTTGCCATTTATTGTGTGATGCTATGTATGCAATAGAACCTACTTCATTAATGTGTTAGCTGGCACAGAGGTTAGTCAAAGACTATGAGAGTCAGCATCAAACCAGTTATTCAGAATTAGACAGTTACTAGAGGCCTGGTGCACAGATTTGTGCACCGGTGGGGTCCCTTGGCCTGGCCTATGGGGATTGGACCGAAACTGGCAGTCCGACATTCCCCAAGGGGTCCTGGAGTGCGAGAGGGCACTCTGCAAATTTGCTCAGCAGATCCTGCATTGAGCGTCTTCTCCCTGGTGGTCAGTGTGTGTCATAGTTAATGGCCAGTCGGCCAGTCACTTAGGCTTTTATATATATAGATAGCATTTTCCCCATTAGACCTAGGGTGTTTTCATTGAATACACATCAATAAAAAGTATTATATGGCCTGGCTGGTGTGCCTCAGTGGTTGAGCGATGACCTGTGAACCAGGTCACAGTTTGATTCACGGTCAGGGCACATGCCCAGGTTGCAGGATTGATCCCTAGTGGGGGGTGTGCAGGAGGCAGCCAATCAATGATTCTCTCTCATCATTGATGTTTCTATCTCTTTCCCCCTCTCCTTTCCTCTCTGAAATCAATAAAAAAAATATTTTAAAAAAGTATTATATGGCAAAGGATTACAAGCAATGGTCTGATAATGAGAATTTATTTTGTTTATAATAAATATAAACAAATCACAGTCACCTATGAGGAAGGGAGTTTGGGTTTTCAGGTCCTTGAGCTCCCTGATTTACATTCCAGCAGATCCAGAATGACCACAGTGGAGGTCAGCTCTGTGTGTCTGTGTTTTTCAGACATGGCTGCCCCACTAAGAGAAACCATATCGAACAAGCAGTATGTGCTACCAACATGGACTGAGCATACCTGAGGAGAATATTGACTTTGGGGAAACCTTCCCATTTTTCTCTGCATTCTGGACACTCTGTTTTTTTTGAAGAGGTCCACCATAAAGCTAGGCAGTGCCGGCAGAAGCTGTGCCCACAGTTCAAGGTGGTGGGGTTAATCAGGATGTCGTAACAGCAGTGGCAAGAAAATTCACTAACAGAAATCTGAGGGTTGGTGCTCTCGAGGGGATCATCTTTCTCAAGGGTCATCGTGTTCAGGTCATGTTGCTGAGACTCCTCCATCTCTTAGCAAATTGTGGGATTCACAGGCATAGAAAATTTCAGACTTAGAAAACTGCTGTAAAGCATCGTTAAATCTAGAAAAAGAGAGAGACAGCAACAGAAATAGGACAATTAGTTTAGTAGGTATTTGAGATTACTGTCATTCAATTAAAGCTAATTTTTAAATGCGACAAATTTGATTTCTAAAAATTCACATTCCAAAAACCAGATAAACATTATTGAATTTCTTCCTGGCCTGTCTTACTTTTGAAAATTAGGTAAAGCAAAATAGTGTAGTGGCAAGTTCAATAGACTTGGGAGGCAGTGTGGAGAATTCTAGATCCTACTCTTTCACTAATTTCTTCTGAAAATGTAATTTCTCTAGTCTCAGTTTTCTCAATTAAAATCTTTTCAGTGGGTGTGATTTAAAATAAACCAGCTTCTTGGCCCAGTGAAATGTCTGGAGTTGGCAATAATAGATGTATTTCAGTTTGGCTCAGTGGATAGCGCGCCGGCCTGCAGACCAAAGTTCCTGGGTTTAATTACGGTCAAAGGCATCTACCTTGGTTGCAGGCTCCTCCCTGGCCTGGGCCCTGATCAGGGCTTGTGCAGGAGGCAATCCATTGATGTGTTTCTCTCACATTGATGTTTCTCTCTGTCTTTCCCTTTCTCTTCTGCTCTCCTTAAAAATCAATGGAAAAATATCCTGGAGTGCAGATTAACAACAATAACAAAATGTATTTCACGTAAATAACACATTTTGTCCAAATAAACCTGCCTTTCCTTTAGGTAATTATTTATTTCATAGCCATTTGATTTCAGAGGCTCCCACAGGAGCAGTTCCAAGAAGTAAGTGAAGCCTTTTTTTTGAGGTGCTCTGTGCCCGATCAACCCCACCATGGCTCAATATTACCCTTTTCCCCAAATCAACCCAAACATGCATATCATGCCCTCTGGATCTGGCCAATTTGGTGTCAGAGAAATATGCTAATATCACTAATATGCAAATGGCAAAGGATCCATTCTCTTCTTATTCTCATCTAAGGCTCATGAGACTTTTTTTTATTAAGAGGCAGTATGATGGAGAATACCATGGAGTTAGAATCTCAACTCTCCAACTCACTAGCTCTGTGACTGTACATAAAATTTCTTGAGCTTCCTGGGCCTTTTTTCTCAGCTATGAAATGGTGGTAACAATACAAAACCTTCAAGACTTACTGTGAGGACTAGAGACCATGACAGTAAAGTGGCTAGGATGGTGTGTGGTTAAACAGGGGCTAAAAAATGATTATTCATTGTGTTCCTGGTATTATCACAGTGTAGGCACTAGTGGGTGAGTTTCTCAATGTCGCTATTGTGAAAGAAAAAATGTAATCAGTCACACTGATCACACTGAGCTTTTACACTTTGCAGGCACAGTAGGTAAGAACACAAGCCCCAAGTCTGGCCAGTGTTGCTCAGTGATTGAGCGTTGACCCTTGCCCCAGGTGGTTGCCAAATTCAATTCAGGGTTGTAGGCTTGGTCCCCAGCGGGGGACATGAAGGAGGCAGCTGATGATGTTTCTCTCTCATTGATGTTTCTATCTGTCTCTCCCTCTCCCTTCCTCTCTCTGAAATCAATAAAAACATATTGAAAAAAAAAGACCAAAAGAACACAGGTCCCAGGATTGGGCTGCCTTGGTTCTTACCCCACCTCTGCCCTTTACCAGTTGTGAGTCTCGACCTCTTGAGTTTCAGCTTTCTCAAGTATAAATGGAGGTGGTAATAGATTTACCTTATCAGGAGTTTTTTTGTTTGTTTGTTTATTTTTAAGATTCCAAGAATTTTTATCACCGGTTGAGGAGTCCATATTAACCTGAGAATATGGGTCACTCTATCACTGAATCAATCTTTTTTTAAAAAAGGTATTTTTCAATTACAGTTGACATTGAATATTATATTTGTTTCAGCTATTCATTAGGAGGTTTTAAGGATGAAATAAGAGAATGCAAGTAAAGTGCCTAGTATAGAGCTGGGCATATGGCAATTTACCTGATTTTCAATGCAGTGATAAGAGAATTTTATCACCCTTTATAAGGTGAACATTTTTACATAGAACATGATAACACTATAATTTAAATTAGCAAATCTATAAACAAAGACTAGAAGAAAATACAATGAAGTATTGGTAGTGGGTGTGTTGAGTGGAGAGAGTCATGATTGTTTGCTTGGTTTTTCTTTGTACTTACGGAGTTGTTCTTAATGAAAGTGTCTGACATTATAATAATTGTAAAACATATATATATAAAATTATAAAAAGTATACTGTATTATATTTCTTTTGGCCAAACACTAATGGGAGTTTTTCAACTCAGAATAAACAGAACTAAATTTTAAGCTTAGTGTTAATTTAAATAAATAATAGTTATTTACAATTGATGGTAACAAAGAGGGAAACAATCTTTTGTATAGGTCTATTAAAAACTGTTCTAATTTGGAAGAAAAGAATCTAAATAAATGTTCTTAATGACAAATTCTAAATTATTTCTGATAATCACATTTGCTCATTACTTGTATGTATAGGAACACTTTTTGTTGTTATTAATCCTCACCTGAGGATATATTTTCTATTGATTTATTTTTATTTTACAGAGAGCAGAAAGGAGGGTGAGATGGGGAGAGAGAAAAAAAATCAATGTGAGGACAGGGAAGGCTAGGGGAGGGGGTAGCAGAGAGTGAACCTGCAACCCAGATACGTGCCTTTGACCAGGAATTGAACCTGAGACCCTTTGATGCACAGGCTGATGGTCTAACCACTAAGCACACTGGCCAGGGCTATTTAGGAACCTTGAAAAATTTTCTAAGTGCTTTACTTTGTACAGTCTCTTCAAATTGCTAAAGAAGTGAGAGATATTATATATAGGTTTCTGGAAAAAGAAATCATTTTGAGTAGTTTCTTTACTTGGTTAGTAGTTATTAAACAACTACCATGTGGATAGTATCATCCCAGGAAATAACTGAAACACTGTTATTTATTGAACTTTTCCTATGAGCTTGGACATTGGGAAGGCCCTTTAGGTACATTCATATTCACATCTGGGCTCAGTGTCAAAGGAAAGATACAAGGCTTCCATTGAGGGCTGGGCAAGGGGTCAGAAAAGATGGGCCTGACTTGGGTGCTGCTCTCAGTATTTTCATGGGGAGCAGTGAGTGATATAGGAGCTACAGGTCCGATACAGAGTCTTATGCGCCTGGTTAAAGACAGGTGAGCCAATGGGAGCACATAAAGATTTCAGAGGCAATGAGATCAGACAGCTGTGCATTAGGGATAATAAATCTCATCAAGAAGGATTAGGTTGGGGTGCGGGAGGCTGGGGGTTAATGGGGGGGATGAGGACACATTTGTAATACCTTAATAAAAAAAAAAAGAAGGATTAGGTTGGAACAAGTTACAAATGAACTGTTATCACTGCTGAAACTAAGGTGACAAAAATGAAAATGGCAAAGGTAGTAAAAGGGATCAATCTATCCAGAAGATGTTAAGAAAATAATTTATGGGCTCTGGTCGGGTAGCTCTGTTGGTTAGAGTGTTGTCCCGATACACCAAAGTTGTGAGTTTGATCTCTGGTAAGAACACATACAAGAGGTGACTGATGAATGCATGAATAAGTGGAACAAATCAATGTTTCTCTCTTCTCTCTAAAATCAATTAAAAAAAGAATAATAGTATTTCTGATAATAATAATAATAATAATAATAATAATTTGTGGACTTTGGTGCCTACAGAGAAAGAAAAATCCAAGATGCTGGCTAGGTTTCAGAACTGGGGAAGAAGAACAGTACATCTGATAGAAATAGGTCACTAAAGAACAGATGGGGCCATCTTGGAAAGATTAGTTGGATTTTAGAAAAGTTGAGTTTGAGGTGATGTACAACTGTCTAGTGAGCAACTGGAGACACAAACAGAAGTTGGGAGTTAAAAGTGAGGCCAAATGCCCTGGCCAGTTTGGGTCAGTGGACAGAGCATTGGTCCATGGATTGAAGGGTCCCAGGTTCGATTCTGGTGAAGGGCACATACCTTGGTTGCAGATTCGATCCCCAGCCCTAGTTGGGGTGTGTGTGGGAGGCAACCAATAGATGTGTCTCCCTTACATCAATATTTCTGTCTCACCCCTCCCTTCTACTCTCTCTATAAATCAATGAAAAAATTGCCTCAGGCGAGGATTAAAAAAAAAAAAGTGAGGCCAAGTGTATGAATTTGTCATTTGCAGAGAAATGACTGTATATGAAGTTAATTTCTCACAAATTAGCCTTTTAAAACTAGAATGCCCCAGTAGTTCCTAGCTTACCAGATCTGAAAGTTTGTTTTTCATGAGAGAAAACAAATCACCCACTGACATCAAAGTGTATTTTATAACTCATATTTTGAAAAACTGAGGTGGCCATTGTTTTATAATTGTCTTCAACAAACTAAAAACTGCATGGACTTTGGACTACACCTTAGGAATTTGGCTAGTTTCATTTTACCCTAAATTCAAAAAGTGAAAGTTAACAGAAAAAATACACATCTTAACCAAATTCAGATCTTTTCTGCTATTTCTACCTGTATATATTAGGGTTATTTCCATTAAAAAAAAAAAAAAAGCAGTGCTTCTAAAGGATGAAAGTGCCTCTTCAGTGATAAAATCGAGCTCAGACACTAAAGCTCCCAGCTGTGGGTTCTGACTAAACACACTCTCCTCCACTGGTTGTGATTAAATGCCTCTTTGAGAAGGCCCAGTGTCCATGAGGATGCTTATAGCTGTTCTCAGCACGCTCACCAGCAGGCTGGAGCTGCGAGGTTCTGGCTTTTTCTGAGCTGCTTCACAAGTAAGTATGCGTTAGAACATCCCTGTAGCCTTCTGGTCTTTTCCCCTTGTCTCAAAGGCCTCAGGGAGACGGGGTCTATGGTTAGGATTGTGGCAAGACAGTCATCCCATTCCCACCTCGAGTGCCCCGTTCACATGGATACATTTTGATTTATGTTTAGTTATCACATGAAATTACAAGTGTAACTACCTAGTTCAAAACTAATGGAAAGAATGCCTGAATTTGGAAAAGTCCACCAAACTTCAAAGATAAGTTTAAATTTTTTAAAATAGACTTTTTTATTGATTTCAGAGAGGAGGAGAGAGGAGAGAGAAACATCAATCAGCTGCCTTCTGCAAGCCCCCTACTGTGGAGGGAGCTGACCACTGGAAATTTATTGAACCTGTGATCTCTTGGTGCATGGGAGATGCTCAACCAACTAAGCCAGGGCATCAACAGAATTTTTTGTAGTTGTTGTTAATCCTCACCTGAGGATATTTTTCCATTGATTTTTAGAGAGAGTGGAAGGCAGTGGGGAAGAGAGAGAAACATCAATGTGAGAGAGACACATTGATTCGTTGCCTTCCACATGCCCCAACTGGGCTGGGGACTGAACCTGCAACTGAGGTACATGCCCCTGAAAAGGAATCAAACCCATGACCCTTCAGTGTGCAGGCCAACGCTCCAACTATGAACCACACTGGCCAGGGCAATAATTTTTAAAATTACTGCTTCTATTCTGCTTTAGACTCAGAGGATAGATAACCCTACTAAGCAGACACAATGTGTGAAAGGCTCTGGAGGAACTTGAGGGCAGGGATTAAGTCTAAAAATTCTAAGTAGGCTCTACTGTCATCATATCCCCAGAGACCTAGGTCAAAATGAATGGAGTGAGAGTTTGTGGGCTCTTCTATGAATCAAATATTTTATACAAGGCCTTTAAAGACACTTATTTTAATTTTTGGAGGTATTATTTTCTTCCTGATTCTGAGAGACTGTGTGATGCACCTCAGTTTTAAAATCTGAAGATAGGACCTGGCTGTTGTGGTTCAGTGGTTGAGCATTGAACTACGAACCAGGAGTTCACAGTTCGATTCTGGGTCAGGGCACATGCCACAGTAGCAGGCTCCGATCCTCAGTAGGGGGCATGCAGGAGGCCGCCGACCAATGATTCTCTCTCATCATTGATGTTTCTATTTCTCTCCCTTTCCCTTTCTCTCTGAAATTAAAAAAAAAATAAAAAAATATATTTATGTATATATAATAAAATCTGGAGATACGTTGTGAGACCCAGTTCCACTATTTAAGAACCATGAGATCATGGAGAAATAATTTATTCCCTCCAAGTCTAACATTAGCATATGCAAGGAACGGGGTTACTACTGCCCACCTCATAGGATGCATGTTAGTTCTGACACTTAGGAAGTGTTTACTAAATGTGGTCTCTTCTTCCATATCATATTCCAGCTGGATAACACTTCCCAACTCATACAACTGAGGAATCCCTAAAGTTGTTCTCATGTCCATGCCATATAATCAACTCATTCTAACAACCCACCAATGTAACTTTTAAAACACCTGGAGACATATTACTTCCTGAAGAACATACCATCTCTAAAATTTCAGTGTTAACAAATGACATACAATCTTAAAAAGCATTAATATGTGAAATATGGCATGAATATCACATATATGAACAAACTGTATAGTTAACCTTTTCTAAGATGTTCATGGGTTTGGTCTATTGGTTTTGATAGAAAAAATGATCACAGTCTCCAATTTCGGGCAACTTTAAGATATCTATCACCATAATCTTTTTTTATTGTTTTCCAAAGAAAGACCTAATTGACATGTATAATTACCGGAAAAAAATCTATGAGACAAGGGGGCTGAGATACAAACAATCTCCCAGTAATTAATTCTATGTAATGAAAGACCTGGAATGAACTTGGCTATTCCTCCCTTGGAAGCAAAAGTTGTCTACTCTAGTCAGCATCCAGAGGGCAACTATCTCATGGTTACTATGCTGTTACCTGTTTGATTCTTTAGTCACCCAACAGGCACTCAATTAATACATTTTATTGAGTTTATAAAAAAAGAATGCATTAATTCTGAGTTCAAGTTAAGAATTTTTACACCTTAGCTTATAAAGATTCATTATGTAATGATTATTAATTCTCTAAGACTGTGGTTAGCAAACTGCGGCTCGCGAGCCACATGCGGCTCTTTGGCCCCTTGAGCGTGGCTCTTCCTAAGCCTTAGGAGTACCCTAATTAAGTTAATAACAATGTACCTACCTATATAGTTTAGGTTTAAAACATTTGGCTCTCAAAAGAAATTTCAATCGTTGTACTGTTGACATTTGGCTTTGTTGACTAATGAGTTTGCCGACCACTACTCTAAAAGATCATAATCTTCAAACTGCTTTGTTCAGTGGTATATAATTATAGTTCTACCTCTTCATTCAACAAGATGCTTGTTGTGATTAGAGTACATACATAATGCTTTAGGAATAATTCTTTGAAGGGCAAATTTATAGGGATTCTAGCCTGAGAATTATGATCTCAATCATTTCTTAGCAGAGCTGTTCACTACAAGAATAAAAATATTTTGGCTTTATACAGGCCTCTAATTAGACCATTTCTTCTCAATACACATTACCTGACATCAGAGAATATTGACAATTGCTAACATTTACCGAGTCCTTAAATGTGAAAGGCATAAGAATCCCAAGGGATAATTATTACTATCATCTCTATTTTATAGACAAGAAAATGGAGGTCCAAATCATGGTCTGACTTAAAAGTCTCTCCTCATAACACTACATTATCCCAATAATGTAATCAATAGCAGTTATTAGTTCAAAGGATTGAGTTGCTGCTTTATTATCAAGGCCACATCAGAGAGCTGCTATTGCAAAGTTGAGACGTCCAAACTAGTGAAAACAAACTAGAATCTAACAACACTGCATTTTGAAACGTGAACTCTCACATGTGACTCCTAAAGTGAGTATGCTGTCCTAGGAGATAAATAAGCATTCACAATAGAAATAGGGGTGAGGCCCTGGCCGGGTGGCTCAGTTGGTTGGGTGTTGTCCTAAGCACTGAAAAGTTGCTGGTTCAATTCCCAGTAGGATCATGCAGGGGGCAGCAAATTGATATTTCACTGTCACGATGTTTCTCTCTCCTTCTCCCTTCCTCTCTCTCTAAAAATTAATTAAAAACCTTAAAAAAAAAAGAAAAAGAAATAGGGGTGAGGGTGGTTGGGAGCACCCCATTTCTGGCACCCAAGTCCACCTCTGGGGACATCACTATAAACCAGCTGTGGGCAAACTACGGCCCGCGGGCCGGATCCGGCCCGTTTGAAATGAATAAAACAAACAAAAAAAGACCGTACCCTTTTATGTAATGATGTTTACTTTGAATTTATATTAGTCCACACAAACACTCCATCCTGCTTTTGTTCCGGCCCTCCGGTCCAGTTTAAGAACCCATTGTGGCCCTCGAGTCAAAAAGTTTGCCCACCCCTGCTATAAACACTACCCAAATACTACAGACATTAGTAAATGTTCAAAGAGTGACTACGCATTTCTAGTGACTATGAAATTAAAAAAAAAAAGTGCCCAAATGTAAGCAGGGCAAGAGTCAGCAATGGCAATAAAAGAGACTTACGTGTTGCCCTAACCGGTTTGGCTCGGTGGGTAGAGCGTAGGCCTGGGGACTGAAAGGTCCCAGGTTCGATTCCGGCCAAGGGCATGTACCTTGGTTGCGGGCACATCCCCAGTAGGAGGTGTGCAGGAGGCAGCTGATCGATGTTCCTCTCTCATCGATGTTTCTAACTCTCTATCCCTCTCCCTTCCGCTCTGTGAAAAATCAATAAAATGTATTTAAAAAAAAGAGAGAGACTTACGTGCACGTCTGGCAGGTGGCAAAAACTGGCTTTCATTAAGAGAAGCCTTTACAAGAGAAGCATTTCCAGGCTCTTAGCATACAGAACCTTGTGTTTTTCTGCCTCCAAATAGATCTTCTTTCTGGATGAGGTCAGAAATCACTAGGACAAAGGTAGCTAGTAGCTCACTGGATGTTGACTTGCTGCCTGAACTTTTGCACCCGTGATTTACTGCCTATTAGTGGTGTTGAGCAAGAAGAAAGAGCACACTGAGAGGGGTGTCCTGGCTCTCTCTAGAGACTGTCCTCTTTCTTGTCTGTTACACAGCATATATTCAATGACCTATCCTGTATTAAATGCTGTAGAAATACAATAACTCAGAAAGTTATCAAAAAATGACAGGTAAGTACCAGTAAACTATACTTACAACTGTTGTTTATAAGCGATTCTATTATGATTCACATATTAAAAACTGACATGTCCTTTTCAGGTTTAGCTTGCTCTTACACTTTTTGCACATTACTGTTTGAGTAGTCTTTGTCTCTTTGACCAAATCCTGAGGTCAGAAACCAACTGACAGAATTCCATCATCACCCCTGAGTTGCAGGCACAAAGCTGGGCTCCAGAAATTTGTAAATGAAAATCAAATCAACAAAAATTGACTCCCTATCACAGTAATTTCCTAGATCCTCCATCAGAATCACCTGGGAAGTTTGAAGATATCTGGGAAAGAGATATCTCCAAAGAATATCTGGGAGATAGGCTCAGGAATGCACATGTTAAGCCCCTCAGGAGAGATTCGTATGCACACAGAAGTTTGGTAACTACACAGCTGTTCTGTTCAGGAACATCGCCTTTTATTATGCTTCTATTTATTGCCATTCACAGATGTTGCATTTTTAAAAATTAAAGGCAGGACCCTTTACCAGCAAAAAGATTACAACTTGCTTTATTGTGATACTTGCTTTATTGAGGGGGCCTGGAACCAAAACAGAACCCAAAATATTTCTGATGTAGGCTTGTACAAAAAACATTTATATGCCCTAAATATATGTTTCAGACAACATATGGGTAAGGTATAACAGAATAGTTTCAGTAACACTACTAATCTCATGTGCTCTTCTCTCTAGTCCCTCCACTCAGCATGGCCCAAACCATCCTCCTGAAACACAATTCTGACCAAGCCCTTCCTTTCCTCAAGCCAGCTCCACCAATTATTCGTTGTGTGACCTCAGGCAAATCGCTTAGCCTTTGTTCCTGTTTCCTCATCTGTAAAATGGGGATAGTCTAGTATCTTCCTGATAGGGTTGTTGATTAAAGGAATTAACATGTGCACAGCACTGAGAATAGTGCCTGGCACATAGTTAGTGCAATTTAAGTGTTAACTATTATTATTATTGTGATTACCTCCTACTATGCACCTATTCATACTCTAGTCCCACATATTAATTCCTGCTCCTTGCTCATTTTCCCATATCACACTGTTCCCTCCATCTGTAATACAGCTCCACACCATCTGAGTCAAGTGTCCAGCTGACAAGACCCAAATTAACTTTTTATTTGAACGTCTTTAATGACTACATTCCCCCACCCATTAACCCTTCCTGTTCTGTGCATTAATATACTAGTAACTTTTATCTGTACATGTTTCCTCATCTCAAAGACTGTAATTTCCCTGGAGAAGCTGGTATAGTGCAGTCAGTATAGTCTCCAGAATGAGAGAGACCTGGGTTCCAAAGCAGGTCTCATTTATTCTCCCTGAGCCTCTAATTTCCCATTTATAAGTTCAGGATAACAATATATACTCTGGCCCTGGCTGGTTTGGCTCAATGGATAGAGTGTCGGCCTGCGGACTGAGGGGTCCCCAGTTTGATTCCAGTCAAGGGCACGTGCCCAGGTTGCAGCTCGATCCCAGGTGGGGATGTGCAGGAGGCAGCCAATCAATGATTCTCTCATCATTGATGTTTCTATCTCTCTCCCTTTCCCTGCCTCTCTGAAATAAAATAAATATATTAAATATATATATATGTATATATATATATACACACACACATATACTCTGAAGGAGGCTTAAGTGATAAGTTCTAACCATAGAAACTACTGTATGGTCCATAGGTATTAAAATTATTAATGGTTGTACTTACTGAGTGCCAGCTATATAAGTAGTGCCAGCACCAAGCACTAGAGCCTCTTTTTTTTTTTAAAAAAAAAAAAGAGGAAAGAAAGAACATAGAACTGGAGAAACAGTATTTTATCAAGTTTATGGAGATAGGCAGGAAACAAAACAGCCATAACAAAAACAAACCAAACAATTCACTACGCACGTGCGCTCGGAAAGGACTCTGGGGTGTGCCTTGGGGGGCTGGAAGGGGGAGTAAACCTCCTTCCTATTGGCCTTTCAGAGTGTGACATAAAGGCAACCCCCAATGGACTAACCAATGGGCTTCGGTGGGGAGGACCCAACGGCGACATTTGAGGGCACAACAGCTATTGACTCACTTCTCTTCACCAAAGTAGGAGGGCAGCCGCCTGGGGCACTGACAGGCCCTGCCAGCCAAAGATTCCGTTAGACACACAGCCTGAATCTCATTTTTATTAAAAAAATAAAATAAAATTCCCTTTTGCACAAGTTCAGATTTCTGCCCGTAAGTACGGAACCACAGAGCTGGTTCTATCTAGCCCATCCCCAGTGTGACTATGCGATTTCACTTTCGCCTTTCTGCGCGCCCGTTATCCCATGCAATCGTTCCGTTTTGCGGCAGGTTAGTGCCTCGCCAATTAGACCTGAAGCCCAGCCTGGCATTTATCAGGAGCCTAATACATTCTGATCGCACTGTCGCAGGCTGCGGCAGGTGCTCCTCGGGGGCGCCAGTCGTCCCCCTTCATCGTGGAAGCGACGCCCTCTCCTTCTCGCCCTGGGGAGATGCCGGAGCGATAGGCTGATGCTGACCCTCGAGGGGACACCAGCGAGGCCCGCCGACCCGCCGTGCCGACGTAGGGCTCCCGGGAAGGGATG